ATTCTGACCAGGCACCTTACATATTGTGATGAATTATTTGATAACTTTGAGATTCCCAGCTTTGCCATTGGAATCCAGGTTGTGAGGTGCTAATCTCATGTCTCAATCACAGCGTCTTGACAAACATGACAGATTGTATGGTTGCAAATTGTCAACCTTAATCAGTTACCAGCTTTATGGGTTATCAAATCTTGCAAAGTATCTTGGCATTCTTTCAGAACACTGTGCCAATAAAGTTACTGTTAATCACATTCAACAAACCAAATAAGTCTCCTAAATCAGCCTGACATTTTGACCAAGGCCTAGCTACAAATTCATGTAATAACTCTTTACCTTGAAAACCACAATGAGTCAAATTATAACACCTCACAATGTATTTTTCAAGCTGTTTTGTCATCCTGGACCAATAGAGGTTGTCACTGCCTGTGGATACAATCTTTTGTGCCATTGTTGAATGAACTACTTAATTCTTACACAAAACACTTGGTACCGTTCATTGTTTGTGTTTTGAATATTTATCGTAAGGGGGATAGCAGTTGGATACCTCCAACAGAAGCCCCAATCAGCACAAGTGAACACACAGTTGTTTCTCAACCAGGTCCCCTCCTTCAGCACGCTGAAGATGTTGCCAGTATGAGTCTCCAACTGGAAGGAATTTGTGATGAATAATTTCTTTCAGTTCACTTGTAAAACCACAAGCATTAATGTTTGGCAGGTGTGCTTTGCTCACTGTTTGATAGTCTTGTCTTTTTTCTCTATTGTTTTAGAAGATAATTTCAGGCAAGCCCTTTGAAGATTTAAGAGATTCTTTGAAGTCTCTTGAACCTTGTTTTATTGGCTTGAGAGCAATTGGCTTTAAAAGGGCAGTGATTTACTTATATTTTTACCTTTTAACAATTGTAGTATCCTGTGGTAAATTTGAAATTAGGCCACGTTTGCTGATACCGAAACCGCAGGGCAACTGCGCCTGTGTGCCTACTTGGAAACTCATCTGAGTACGGTTCTAGAATCTTCATGTTGTTGCATCATGTGCAAAGTGTACACTGCATGTTTGCACAGAAAAGGTGTGACATTGCGGTGGGATTCTTTCCCCACCCACACCTGCTGATCAGTCTCCCTCTTCTTCCCCATTCTGATCTCTTTCTGTTTTTCTTCCTCTTCTGTGTCTCTCTCTCTCTTCCCCTTTTCTCTTGCTCTCCTTTTGCACTCGATATCTCTCTTCCTCCCCCCTCCACTTGCCCAATCTTTCTTCCATCAACACCTCCCTCGCTAAATCTGTCTCAGCACCACCACAACTACCCCCCACCTCGCCCTGTTCCTGATTTCCACCGAAACTGCACATGCATGAAATTTAGGTGTACAATTGAAACACTAGCGCATGCATAAGCATCTCCCTAGAGCGTGCTGCACATACTTCTCAGTGTCAGCAAACGCAGCCTTGAAATTATATCAGTTATGAGCAGCTTTCTTGATCAGTGCATATCTTTGCTCTTAATGCTTTTGATGTACCCACAAATGGTTCTGTAGCAGTACTGCTCCAGGTCCAGATCGAGATGTGTCACATTGCAATGTTCTCTTTGAGACTGTAATACCCAAGTACTGACAAGTTGGTGAGCTCTACTCTGAGTCCTTGCAGACTCATTTTTCCATAAGAAGCATTTTGTATTCACATCTCTAAGCAGAATTGCTTGCGTGGATATTGTGTGAGTCCAACCAGTTATTGAATTGTTGCTGTGTTAGTTATGTCAGCTTCTCCAAAACCATTTTATCTTTGGTTAAATGTAAATAAAGGCCCCTTTCCCCTTGAAACAAGTCCAATAAAATAGCTTCTATGCAAGAAATTCCACTTTGACAACGTTTAGCACCACTCCACAATTATTGTCTTAATATCAATATAGCTGTTCTAGGTTTTTTATTAAAGGCAATTAATTGCTACTTCAAATTCTCTTCAAACCAACTGTCACAAGATCGCATGCAAAACCACTGTCCTTGCAGTCCTTCCACAAGCCTGTGCATCTTGGCGTCTGGCTGATCTTAAATGTCATATGCCTTCAGTGGTATTGTCCAAATGCCCATTTTGACCATCAAGCCATGAGTGTATTAGCACCCGGGGACCGGTAGCTACATCTTCTTCATTGGATGGGAGATAATGTCTTGTTGGCCTTTTAATTGAGGTTTAAAGAAAGCATATACGTAGAAAGCATAGCATTCTTAAGCATGTCTACCATTGAATCGGTCTGCAAGGTTGTCATCATTGCAAAGACAAAAATGTTCTGACTCACTTGACAACTAACAGTTTGCTTCAGTGTATTCTTTCGGAGCAGCTGCACATGCCAGTGGGAAATGTGAAGCAAATTTTGATGCACCTTTTTCATTTGAGCAATATTTGTGTGCAACCTGATGGGTTATTGCCTATTGATTGATGTGTGAAGTGTGGATGGAAAGGTAGGATTCTCACTAAGTCTTAAAGATTGCTGTAAAGCTTCCCAAAGCCTAATTTTGGGCAGGAAGTTTTTGCTTATTTGCAATTTCTCCTTGAGGATTTTGTTGTTTTCTTGAAATGACGGCCGAGCAGCTTTGGCTACTCTGTACAGTTATTGAAGAGACAATGCAAGATCATGCCTGTCCATGAAATGTCTGCAGACTTAACTCAATGGTCCGGCTTAAATGAACCAGTGTAACTTCCTGTTCCCAGCATCCTGATGTTGTAGAGAATCCAAGGTTTGTATCTCTTTGAGATTTCTGTTCAGAATGATGATTCTGCATCAACTTTATTGTAAAAGGAGGCTTTATAGAGCGTTGCACTTGAATTGGTCAGCTGGAATGTTTTCACATGTACAGGCAAGTATTGAAATTTGATTTAGGATATCTGTCCTCCCCACCAACAAACAACACCCCTCCACCCCCACACGTGCACGCACACGCTTGCTTTCTCTCTCCCTTTCCCCTACTCCCCCAGCATTGACACCATATACTGTCAGATCTATGAACATCCATGCTAATCCTGCATCAGGGTCTTTTAAGACATGAGAGGACCCATAGAAGACAGTAACATTGCTTACATCTTGCACGTCATTCACTAATTTTTGTTGACTCCATATTTATCAATCACTTTAGACAGTAAAGTGAAGCTCCTTGGAAATATGTGGAGATGACTTCCCAAAATGGTTCCAGGGATGAGGAAATTCAGCAACAAGGTTAGGTTGGGAAACTGACTTTGTTCTCTTTGGAACAAAGGAGGTTGCAGGAAGTGCTCCTGGCTATGTACAAGATTATGACTGCTTTAAATAAAGTGTTCTGTTTAGTGAATGGCAGAAGGACTAGGAGACACTAATATAAGGTTTTGGTCAATGGATGTGAGGGGTGGATTTGAGGATGAATATATTTTTAACTGAGCTGGGAAGCGCAGAACTTGTACAGTAATTGGTGGACTTGGCAAGGCCGGTGAATGGCAGAGATATGGGCACTCGCTGCCTTTTGTTTTCAAAGCCTGGCCCTAGGGCCTTGCACATCATGTACTGAGGGCAACAAGGGGTCAAAAACAGTCACTGGGGAGCCTCTAGTTTCCCTCTCCTGGCTTTCTAGTGACCAGGTTTGAAGCAGAGCAGAAAAAAAGCACAAAGAGAGAGAGAGACAAATGCAGCACACTACCAATTCATCTAAAAAATACATCTTCCTTCACAATTTGTCCTTCTCACTTCTACTTTTGAATTGGCGCTCTAATGTTACTTATCCATATAGCGTTTATTGGATGGGATATCCAATTTATGGTGTAATGAATACCATCCACTTAAGGCCACATATTGTATCTGAAAGACAAGATGAAAGGCTGCCCACAGAGTTACCAAAAATGCCATTTTAAAACCCACCATGTGAATGGCAATATTTTTCTTTCAATTAATTTGGTATTTCAGTAACATTTAGTGACTTATTTTGTTTTGAAAGCTTTTTCAACTAATAATGCACAGTGCCGCACACGTATGATATAGTGGTCACCTTGTACACGTTTTTTTTAAATCTGATAAGAACTGTCTGCAGGAACCTAACTCAGACTTTGATGTTGATTTCTGTTGAAAACTACGCTTTACTTGAAGTCATTTCACTTAAAGCTGTGATTTTCAGGAACACAAACACAGCTTTAAGTAAGGACTCGCTGTATTCAAGAGTGAATATCTATAAAGTACTTGCTAATATGTGAGTATTAAAAAGATAATGGTCGTAAACTGTTAGTTTGACTCAGTTGGCAGGAGTTCTCTGTCTCTGAGTCTTCTGCTTCTGCTTTCTGCTGATTAATGTTGTAATCCACCGATGTTTATGACTGTGCTTAACAATGTGATAATAACCATGTAATCTCATCATGTGATTTTGAATGCGAGATTATAAATTGGTCAACGCACCAGGAACAACTTTCCCTACCCCTCCTCAAATAATGCCAGGTGGAGCCGAAGTGCTGCATTATTAGAGAGAATGTGATTCAAAATTCAGAACTTGTCCAAATAATGGGTCCCATTGGCAACAATTGTCAAAATGCAGATAATTCTTCCTGGTGCTCTTGCGCAGAAATGAATCTCAATTAATTCTAATGAAACGAGATTAAGTTGTCACATGCTGTTTATGGAACCTTGCTATATGTAAATTGGCTGCTGTGTTGTCTATATAACAGTAACTATACTTCAAAAATAATTATTTGAAATTCTGTTTTACATTACACTGTCTGACCTAATCATTCTTTGTTGACATTCATCCCTGTAATCCAAATAATAATCCTCATGCCATATGACTCTTATTCTCATCCCTTTTTCCTTCAACTACCTATCAATGCCATTCTGCTTAAACCTGTCTGATAATGTATTCCACATTCGTTAGCTGTGAAACACTGTAAAATGTGGCTCACTGGTTAGTAGACTTTAAGCCAATCCGTAAAATCAATGCATAGCTTTATTGAACAATTTTTAGTGGGTGTTTTTAACAGAGGTCTTTTTTTCCTTCCTGGTCTTTAGGAGAAGAAGCTCAGTTATTAAGGCTGTCATTAATGCAACTTTTTAGAGGCAAGGCTGTTGATACCTATGCAGATTATGTTAACAGGTAGGTATCTTTGTGCACATTGAATACACAAGACTGATTGTGAATGTATAATTGAGCTATGTTCCAAAACTAGAACTTTGTGGAATTTTTTTCATGTGTCAGAAATGTCATGCTTATTTGGATGCATTAATGTACTTAAATAAATACAATGTATTGAGGTAGAATATTGTAGGCCTTGAAAATCTGTGGCAGTTCCTGTGAACTCCTGCTGCAAGTTTTCTGGAACAGCTCCAAACTCCGTCAGGTTTCAGATGCACCAAGTCTTAGCCTTGATATGTTTTCTGGGAAGGCTTTGCGGGGACATCGATTTAAGTAATTGGTACTCCGAAGACTGAGTGCTGCTCAGTTATGATCTAGTTTAGTAGTGGGGCAGTATACCTGACTTGATTTGACCAGTAAATATCACTAGATTCAAAATAGATCTGGAAGATTGATTCTATTATAGAATCAGAGAATCCCCACATTGCGGAAAGTGGCCATTTGGCCCATCGTATTTGCACGGATCGTCCAAAGAGCATCTCCCCTAGAGCTAGACCCCACCCTAGCCCCATAACCTCACATTTACCATGGCTAGCCCACCTGGCCTGTACGCTACAGGACAATTTTTTAGCATGGCCAAACCACCTAATCTGCACATCTTTGGACTGTGGAAAGAAACTGAAGCACCTGACAGAAACCCATGCAGACACAGGGACAATTGTGAAAACTCACCCAAGGCTAGAATCAAACCCGGATTCCTGGTGCTGTGTGATAGCAGTGCTAACTACTGAGCCACTGTGCCTCAATACATTCTTTAATTACTTGCTCTTGATTTATACAAACTCTCAGCAATTGGGTTGATTTTCCAAGATTCTGCTTTGGGCACAGCCATTAGATAGAAGAATTCCCTTTAATGTCTGGGATCTCTGGAACAATGCTAGTCACAGACAGCTAGCCACACTGGCTCCTGCACCCAGTGATTCAACTCCTGATCATGTTCAGTCTGTGCTAGGAGTGAAGTCTCAGAAAAAGTAGTTGGTATCTCTTTTTAACTGTGGATTTTCTACTAAAAGTTTATTTTTCTAAGTGACTTTGTTTTATTATTCAGGGTTTGTATAAGGAATCTGAAAGAACTCTCGCTGAGGTAAGAACACAATTTAATGTATCTAATCTCAGTTTTTCGGTGGGATTAAGAGATGATCCCAACTTTTTTGACTAGTTCCTCAGCTATCATTTGGACTGTAGAGGTCACTTTTTTTTTGGCAGTTTATAATCGAAGGTTACGAATGCTCTGGCCGGCATTTCACATTTCAAAACAATTCTTGGATAATTTTGTTCAGATTTTCTTTATCCAACTCCTTTTTTATTAGCTTTTCTTTAAAGTGGTAAAATCTCTTCATATGCTTACACTGCATGGTTTCCAGTGATTTATTCCCCAGCATTTTAATAGTCTGACAAATATCTATTTCAATTTTTTTGTCCCCTGCCCATAACACTCCATGCCGCTCCATTTCTTCTCTTGACTATATGCTTAATGTTTCTTAAACATCCCTGACTTCTACAGACCTCCAAATGCTGCATTTCCTTGATCACCCTTGTTTCTGTGAATTCCTCCAGTCACAAACTCTCCTACCATCTAATTTTGATTCCTTTATATGTTCCCACTGCCTTCACCTCCCCAGCAATGGCCTTCAACTGCTAGAACCTAAGTTCTGCAATTCCTAATCCAGATTTCATTGGTCATTCTCTCTGTCTAACATCTTGAATAAAGCTTATCACCACATTGTCTTATAGCTTCCTTGGATATAAAAACAGTGGATAGAGAGAAGTTGTTCCCTGTGGTGCTGATCGAGAAACAGGATTTGATTTAAGATGGCTGGCAACAGAAACAACAGCGCCTTGAGGAAACTATTTTCCAAACCACAAGTGATTCAGATCTGGAATGCTTTAGCTGGGAGTATAGTGGAGACAGGTACAACTGGGGCTTTCTAAAGGGAATTGGATTAGCACATGGAGAGAATTTGCAGGGTGCTGGTGAAAGTGCAGGGGAATGTGATTAGCTGAGCTTCTCCTTCAGGGAACCTGCACATATACATGGTGAACTCAATGGGGGCCTCCAATCAATAATCATTAGGATTCCTTGGCTTGGCACCAATTTTAGACTGATTTGTGTTCTGTAAAGAACTTTGGGATGACTTACTACATGAACAGTTTTCGATTGCACCTTTGGAATCAGCCACTGCAAACACACTAAGAATTTTCTCGATCACCACTTGCTCAAAAAATATGAGAAAATTAACCACTTCTAACTTGCACACTGGAAATTTCTCCAAGGATTGGATGTTGGAATATCACAAATATTAACATTTTGAATTAATTTGGTGGCCAGTGCAATTCTCTTTTCCTGATGGTCACACAGTTATGGAGTTTGGTGGAAGCGAATATAGTAGAGCCTTTCAAATGGTAACTGGAAACATGCTGAAAACTGGAAAAAATTAGAGCTGCAGGGTGGAACAGGACGAACTGTAGCTTGTTCAAAGGCATGAAAAGTGAGCTGAACAACAATTTGCTGCGTTATAAAATTTTCTAATATTCCTTTTCACTGTTGTACTGGTGACTCTATTTTCATGAACACACGGACTGCCAATCAGTCTTTGTTTACTTAATCAAAAGTTATCATAATTTTTAAAAATTATATCAAGCTACATCTTGACTTGCTATATCTCCAGTCTGTGTTAGCAATGTTTTCCCATTCCTGGTCATTAGAACTATAATAAGCAGTATAGTGGTTTTCACTCAAGATGATGTACCAAACTCCAGTTGTTAAGTCATTTAGATTTTTGAATTTCATAGATCAGAGATCATAGAATCCCTACAGTGTGGAAACAGGCCCTTCGGCCCAACAACTCCACACCGAACCTCAGAGCATCCCACCCAGACCCATTGCCCTATAACCCCTGAACACTATGGGCAATTTAGCCTGGCCAATCCACCTAACACCCCACATCTCTGGATTGTGGGAGGAAACCAGAGCACCCAGAGGAAACCCACGCAGACACAGGGAGAATGTGCAAACTCCACACAGCCAGTCGAGGGTGGAATTGAACCCGGGTTGCTGGTGCTGTGAGGCAGCAGTGCTAACCACTGAGCCACTTTGCCGCCCTTAACCTCTCCCTTCATCTGAGGTCAGGTGACTATTAGGTTAAACCACCCAGTTATCTCTCTCTAATGAGAGAGCAGCCCTACCGTCTGGCGACTTTACTCTTTGGCTATTTCTTTTCCTGCACATTTTTGAGGCTGCAACATGGCCAAAAATGAAAGCTGAGAATCTCTCCGAATTGGTGCTTGAGCCTCTTCTGCATATCCAGTAAGAGTTCCATCTGTCCAGCTTGTGCAAGCAGCTTAACAAAGGAAACATTTCAGTTTTGAGCTGACTGCCTCATGATCACTGGCCTTCAAATAACTTTCACTCTTCACTAGCTCCACATTGAAAGAAGGCTTCTTTTTAATTCTACCCTCTCTGCTGACTAAGCAACATCCAAGTCAACTTCTTAGATCAGTCCATTTTCTAGAAAGTGGGTTTTGTCCATTTTGTTATCCTGCTTGTCTTTGAGAAGTCTCTTGCTCATGTGACTGTAGAAGTTTGAGGTTTTGATTCCTTATATTTGGTACAAATCCACTGAGAGCAGAAGTGGATTAACATTTTCTTTGCAGTGTATTATTTTCAAGCTAAGCAATACCTGTTTGTCATAAGGGGATAACAAGAACTGCAGATGCTGGAGTCAGAGTCTAGCACATTGTGGAGCTGGAGGAACACAGCAGGTCAGGCAGCATCAGAGGAGCACGAAAGTGAATGTTTCAATCCTGACCCGAAACGTCGACTTTCCTTCTCTGATGCTGCCTGACCTGATACACCTGTGTTAGAATCTGTTTGTCTATATTCTTTTTTTCATGTCTGTTGATCATCCAGGCTTAGGAGTGAAATAACTCCACAGAGGCCAGTATCCTATCACCAAATCACACTTTGTTTACAAGTGGAGAGCCAACTCTGACTGAACAGGATCTCTGGCACGCTAGTTCTTATCTCTCATCCAGGGCTCCTTGATTGGACAAGGTTAACAGCCCCAATCAGGGAACTCATATTCTATGATGCCCACCTGGCTGACCTTGTTACAATCACTAGACTAGGCCTCTGGTGAGACTCCTTTACTGAAGATGTTCTTAAAAAATCAATGACCGCTACATTTACCTTAACCATCCGTTGACTTACTTACTCTAACTGAAATTGTAAAATTTAATTTGCTTTTTTAACAAACTCATTCTAGTTGCTTTCAATAAACCCATCCATTTTCAAATGCTTTCTAAAACAGAAATCTTGTGTTAAGTGGCAAAATCCTTTTGTGCCAGAAGTGAGTGGGTTTGATAAGCACCTGAAGTGAGAATTTGCATGGTTCTGGTGAAAGTGCAGGGGAATAGGATTAGCTGAGTTTCTCCCTTGAAGAACCTGCGCACACATGCTGAACAGAATGGCTGTGTCCTGTACATGATTTGATTGTACAATGATTTTGATTCCTTGGCTTGGCACCAATTTTGAATTGCTTGATAATGCTTTGATAAAGAACCTTTGGAAGATTTAGTACATTAACAGTTTTAGGTTGCACTTTTGGAATCAGCCACTTCGGACACTCTGTTATAATTCTTGATGACTGCTTTTGACGTGTTACAATTGTAGAGAAGTGCAGCAACCAGCATGTGCATTGCTAGTAATAAGATATATGTCAAATTTAATTTTTTATTGATGGCAATTGATAAATTTTGGTCAGGACATTGGGTGAACTTCCTTGCTTTTTGTTTGAGTACTATCCTGTGATCTTTTGTGTCACCCTCAGGTCTCACATTAGAGCCCTGGTTTAATGTTTCAGCCAAAGGAAGCACCTCCCTCCCGCCCAGATTAACTCTTCCATCAGGCAGAAGCTTAAACAAAAGCTTAAACACATGTACCAACAGGTTCAAGAACACCACCTTCCCTGCTATAATTAGACTTCTGAATGGACCTCTCAAATTTCAAATCTAGTGTTGATCTTGTTTTTTATGCACCTTCTTTGCAGCTGTAACTTTGTATTCCTCCTTGCTCTGTGTTCAATCACCCAGTGATCGTTGTATGGTATGATCCTCCTGTACTGCATGCAAAACAGAACTTTTCACTGCACCTAGGTACATGTGTCAAAAATAGATCAAATCAAAATCAAATCCATATAATAGTCAGATTAAAGGGAGGAAGGTCGAAAGGTCCAAATATGGCACTGGGATAAGGCGAAGGTTTCCCTGGGACATAGGAACGTGTTTTGTTGTGCTGCAGACTGGAAGAAGTCCTGAGTATACCATATTATTGTACAATCTTAGGTATTTTTAAATCTTGTACTTCACTCTAACTGCCTCTGCAAGATCTCTGCCTATGCTTGGTGGTCACAGTCCCCATACTTTTGTGCCATTATGTATCTATTCAATAGTCAGCAACTTTGCTTTCCCAGGCACTGAGAGTTCCAAATGCCTTTTGAAACGCAGTTGCTTTTGTTCTGCTAGTGAATCTAGCAAACACATTGCATGCAACAAATAAGTCAACTGACTAACTAATTTATTTCTGGTTGAGGTTGAAAATGGTCACCAATGCTGAACATTGAAGGTGGACATATTATCAACTTTGTAGGCTTTTGCAATGAACAGGAGTACCTGTTTATCTGTCAGTATCTCTACTTGATCTTTTACTTGACCTGATCTAGTAAGTTTGACATCAGTTTAACATCTTACAGTGATATTTCCAGTTTTGTACAATGGTATCCAGTTGGAAATTTGTTAGTTTTGAGGTGATGTTATGCTTCCTTTCATTCATTTGCAAACTCTCAAATGCAAGTTTTTTGAGGACCATTGCATACAGACAACATTTTGGAATGCAATGATTTTTAAAATTTTGCACAATTAATTTCTTGATATTTTTGAGAGTGGAATCCTGATGCGGTTTAATTAACAGTGAAAAATCAGTTTATCACAAGTTGGCAATTTTTTTAATGAGAATCTTCAGTTCACCTTTAGACTACTCCACTTTCAAATAATTAAAAAATTCCTGTAAAACTAGATGTTGATTTG